AGATGCTTCAAATCTTGAATTTTCACTGATGTAGGTGCTTGTGCATGTTGCGATTCACTTGGTGATACTTCCGTGATGTTTCCCCTTGAGTAGATGCTACCAATATTGTGTTTTCACTGTTTTTGGTGCTTGTCCATGTTGCGATTCACTTGGTGATACTTCCGTGATGTTTCCCCTTGGGTAGATGCTTCAAATCTTGAATTTTCATTGTTTTTGGTGCTTGTACATGTTGCGATTCACTTGGTGATACTTCCGTGATGTTTCCCCTTGAGTAGATGCTACCAATCTTGAGTTTTCTCTGTTTTTTTGTGCTTGTACATGTTGCGATTCACTTGGTGATACTTCCGTGATGTTTCCCCTTGAGTAGATGCTACCAATCTTGAGTTTTCACTGTTCTTGGTGCTTGTACATGTTGCGATTCACGTGTACTTCTGTGATGTTTCCCCTTGAGTAGATGCTTCAAATCTTGAATTTCACTGATGTAGGTGCTTGTACATGTTGCGATTCACTTGGTGATACTTTCGTGATGTTTCCCCTTGAGTAGATGCCACCAACCTTGAGTTTTCACTGCTTTTGGTGCTTGCACATGTTGGGATTCCCCTTGTGAAACTTTCGTGATGTGTCCCCTTGGGTAGATGCTTCCAATCCTAAGTTTTCACTGTTCTGGGTGCCTGTACCTGTTGCGATTCACCTTGTGAAACTTCCGTGATATTTCCCCTTGATTAGATGCTATCAATCTTTGGTTTTCACTAATCTTGGTGAATGTATGGGTTGCGATCTACCTTGGGTTACTTCCGTGAACTTTTCGGTAGATTAGGCACTCTCCATCTTGAGTTTTCACCAACCTTGACGAATGTGTTATGATTCTGGTTGTTCGTTGCATGAAAGCCAACACTCACTCACATAAACTTCTGCACATGCCCATACACACACAGAAGGAAGGGTAGAGGATAGGAGTATCACACCACACAGGGAGAGATAAACACAGCGGAAGACTTGACCATGCAGTATGACAGGGTACACTGAAACTGCAATACACTCCACTCAATCCTCACAACCAGTCATAGAGAAACGATGATAGTCCAAACACAGTTATACACTGTTTATTAAACTTAGAGTCTCGAAATGTCAGGATCACTTCAGAACTACAGTGCGCTGCTCAGAATTGAGCAGCGCTTCACTCTCCAACCCTGATAGACACCCGTAACA